CTGGGTTGCTGTGACTTTTCTAGGCTGTATGGCCATGTTCCAGATGCATTCCTTCCTGACATTTCGCCCACATCTATGGCAGGCATCCTCACAGGTTGTGAGGTCTGTTGGAAACTAGGCAAGTGGGGTTTATGATGTTCAGGGTGAGAGAAAGAACTCTTTGTCTGTTGGAGACAAGTGTGGATGTTTCAAGTGGCCCTCTTGATTAGCATTTAATGGCCTAGCAGTTTCAAGGTCTGGCTTCTTACTGCCCCTTTCTTCCTCTGTTTTCCTCTGCAGTTCATCTCAAAACAGCAACCAGTGTTGCATCAATTTTTATTGTCACTTTGAGGGGGATTTCAGAAGGAAAGTAGGTTTTGTAGGATTTTAGGTGCATTCAGGAATGCAATGAACGCATTTTGGGTCCTTTCTGTGTGACTTAAACTCTCTCTCTCTCTCTCTATACACACACACACACACACACACACACACATACATATACATATATATACACACACACACACACACACACACCTTTTTGAAGGGATTGGGGAAACTAACGGATAGTTTCAAGATTCAAAGATATAGTCCAAGGGCTTCAATTCACCCACTACTATTGTACAATGGAATATACATACTTCTGGGCTGTATGAAGCATTCACTCCTGACGTCTTTCCCACATCTATGGCACGCATCCCCAGAGGTTGTGAGGTCTGTTGGAAACTAGGCAAGTGGGGTTTATATATCTGTGGACTAATGCACAGAGTGGGAGAAAGAACGCTTGTCTGTTGGAGGTAATTGGTCACCTGGATTAGCATTAAATGGCCTTGCAGCTTCAAAGCCTGGCTACTTTTGGCCTGCAGGATCCTTTGTTTGGAGGTGTTAGCTGGCCCTGATTTTTTTTTCCTGACTGTTGGAAACAACCTCTGGGGATGCCTGCCATAGATATAGGTGAAACGTCAGGAGAGAATGCTTCTGGAACATGGCCATACAGCCCGGAAACATCAGGAGATTATGCTTCCGGAAGATGGACATACAGCCCGGAAAACTAACAGCAACCCAGTAATTCTAGCCATGAAAGCTTTCGACAACACAAAGCTTATTCTATTACAGAAGTGGGAACGAACAGAATCTCATGGCATGGCATCAACTTCAAAGCTGAAAGTGGCTGTCAAATAAGATTTCGCATCAGTCCAGATTGACACCATTATATTCCTCTCTGCACATCATGAAAAAACAAACACAATGACCTCAAGCTTGTCAATATTGATTCATTTCAAAAGGATCTAAGAGGACCCTTTTACCTGTGGGAACTTGAAAGCAAGCCAGCAAGATGGGTCTGAACATTGTAAAGCTCTGAGAAAACAGGGAAACCACACCCAGCAAAAGAGGAGAAGATGACAGATGCAGTGTAAGAGAGAAAGAAAGAAAGAAAGAAAGAAAGAAAGAGGGAAGGAGGGAAGGAAGGAAAGAAAGAAGAGGGAGGGAAGAAAGAAGGAAAAGAAAAGAAGAGGGAGGGAAGGAAAGAGGGAAGGAAGGAAAAGGGAGGGAGGGAAGGGAGGGAGGGAGGATGAAAAAGAAGGAAGGAAGGAAAGAAGGGGAAGGGAAGGAAGGAGGAAGGAAGGAAGGAAGGAAGAAGAAAGGGAAGGAGGAAGAGGAAGGAGGGAGAAGGAGGGAGGGAGGAGGGAGGGAGAGAGGAGGAAAGAAGGGAGGGAGGGAGGAGGAGAAGGAGGGAAGGAGAGGAAAGAAGGGAGGGAGGGAGGAAGAAGAGAAAGAAGAGAAGGAGGAAGAAGGAAGGGAGAGGAGGAAGGGAGGAGGAAGGATGGGAAGGAAGGAAGAAGAGGATGGCAGTTGTGGTTTATAATACTTGGGAGGAGGAAGAAGAGGAAAAAAGAATAGGGAGGAGAAGAGAAGGAAAAGGGAGGAGGAGGAGGAGGGAGAGAGGAAGGAAAGAAGGGAGGGAGGTAGGGAGAGAAGGAGGAGGGAGAGGAAGGAAAGAAGGGAGGGAGGGAGAAGAGGAAGGAAAAGAGGGAGGAGAGAAGAGGAGGGAGGGAGAGAGGAAGGGAGGGAGGAGAGGGAGAGGAAGGGAGGAGGGAGGGAGGGAGGAAGGGAGGGAGAGAGGAAGGAAGGAAGGAAGGAAGGAAGGAAGGAGGAAGGAAGGAAGGAAGGAAGGAAGGAAGGAAGAGCATCCTTGGCCAGACATACTGATTGAGAGAAAGACAACCCAAATCAGTGACTGAAAAAATGAGAAAGTGGCTCAATATTGCCTACTGAGCTTCAAGGTAAAATGGGGATTTGAGTCTAGCAAATGTAGATGCAGTCCCAGGCTGCATCTACACTGTAGAATTAATGCAGTTTCACTGCACTTTAATTGCCGTGGCTCAGTGCTATGGGATCCTGCAGTTTTACAAGGTCTTCAGCCTTCTTGTCACATAGTGGCAGAAGATCCTGGAGGGGTTGGGGGAGGTTAATGTGAGTTACAGTTCACCTCGTATCCCGTGAAAATACATCTATGGGTTGCTGTGAGTTTTCCAGGCTGTATAGCCACGTTTCAGAAGCATTCTCTCCTGACATTTCACCCACATCTATGGCAGGCATCGTCAGAGGTTGTGAGGTCTGTTGGAAGCTAGGCAAGTAGGGTTTATATATCTGTGGAATAATATCCAAGGTGGGAGAAAGGACTCTCCCACCCTGTTTGAGGCAAGTGTGAATATTGCAATTGGCCACCTTGATTAGCATTGAATGGCTTTGCAGCTTCAAAGCTTGGCTGGTTGCTGCCTGGGGGAATCCTTTGTTGGGATGTGTCAGCTGGTCTTGATTGATTCTTGTCTGGAACCCCCGTTTTCAGAGTGTTGCTCTTTATTTACTGTCCTGATTCTAGAGGTAGCCAGACTGTGTTCATTTTCATGGTTTCCTCCTTTCTGTTGAAATTGTCCACATGCTTGTGGATATCAATGGCTTCTCTGTGTAGTTGTTAGAGTGGTCCAGTAATTTTGTGTTTTCAAATAATATGCTGTGTCCAGGTTTATACATTCCACAGATATATATATAACCTCAACCTATGAGGGTGCCTGCCATAGATGTGGGTGAAACGTCAGGAGAGAATGCTTCTGGAACATGGACGTACAGCCTGGAAAACTCACAGCAACCCACTGATTCCAGCCATGAAAGCCTTCGACAACACATCTATGTTTGTGTGCAATTTCCACGAAGGCTGCCAGCTTCAGAAAGCACTATGATTGAGAGTTAACTGGCCTATAATGTTGGGAGTTGTAGTTCATCCACAATCAAAGAGCACTCTGTACTCAACTGGCAATGGATCTGGTCCAAATGTGGCACACAGACCCAATGTGGGCAGCTTTAAACAATGATGGCAAATGACCTATAATGTTGGGAGTTGACCTATAATGAGGGGAATTGACCTACAATGTTGGGAGTTGCAGTTCACCCACAATCAAAGAGCGCTCTGTACCCAACCGGCGATGGAGCAGGACCAAATGTGGCACACAGACCCAACGTGAACAACTTTAAACAATGACAGGATTAAGGGGCAACTGATTTATAATGTTGGGAGTTGTAGTTCACCTACAATCAAAGAGTGCTTTGTAGCCAACTGGCAATGAATCTAGACCAAACATGGCACACAGACCCAACTTGAACAACTTAAGGGGGGATTGACCTACAATGTTGGGAGTTGTCGTTCACTCACAATCAAAGATCGCTCTGTACCCAACCAGTGATGGATCTGGATCAAACATGGTACACAGACCCAATGTGGGCAGCTTTAAACAAAGACAGGATTAAGGGGTAATTGATTTATAATGTTGGGAGTTGTAGTTCACCCGCAATCAAAGAGCGTTCTGTACCCAACCGGTGATGGATCTGGACCAAACGTGGCATACAGACCCAATGTGGCCAGCTTTAAACAATGACAGGATTAAGGGGTAATTGATTTATAATGTTGGGAGTTGTAGTTCACCCACAATCAAAGACCGCTCTGTACAAAACTGGTAATGGATCTGGACCAAACATGGCACACAGACCCAATGTGGGCAGCTTTAAACAATGATGGAATTAAGGAGGAATTGACCCACAATGTTGGGAGTTGTAGTTCACCCACAATCAAAGAGCACTCTGTACTCAACCGGCAATGGATCTGGACCAAAAGTGGCACACAATCCCAACGTGAACAACTTTAAACAATGATGGGATTAAGGGGGAATTGACCTACAATGTTGGGAGTTGTAGTTCACCCACAATCAAAGAGTGCTTTGTACCCAACCGGTGATGGATCTGGACCAAACGTGGCACACAGACCCAATGTGGGCTGCTTTAAACAATGATGAGATTAAGGGGGAATTGACCTACAATGATGGGAGTTGTAGTTCAAAGAGTTCTTTGTACCCAACCGGAGATGGATCTGGACCAAACGTGGCACACAGACCCAATGTGGGCAGCTTTAAACAATGATGGGATTAAGGAGGAATTGACCCACAATGTTGGGAGTTGTAGTTCACCTGCAATCAAAGAGCACTCTGTACCCAACTGGTGATGGATCTGGACCAAATGTGGCACACAGACCCAATGTAAACATCTCTGAAAAATGGCAAGGTTTGGTGCTGCATGCATAGCCTCTAACAGCAGGCATGGGCAAACTTGGGCCCTCCGGGTGTTTTGGACTTCAACTCCCACAATTCCCACAATTGTGGGAGTTGAAGTCCAAAACACCTGGAGGGCCCAAGTTTGCCCATGCCTGCTGTAGAGCCAAAAATGTAAGCTGGAAGGGGCTTCAAGGGGGAAGAGAGGGGTTTCATGCATGCCCAGAGATGGGACCCACACCCTCCTGAAAGTTTGCATTCTGCTCAAGAAAGGAACTCAGCCTCTTCAGAGAGGAAGCAAAACGTTTCCTTTCTCTCCTTAATCCCTCCTCTTGGATCTTTCCAAAGTGGAGGGCCATTCCCACCTCCCCTTCCAAGCCTCTCTTTCTTGCCCCCAAGGTTTTGGCAGGCTGGCCTCCTTACCGCCGTAGATCCGGAGGAAGAGGCAATGTAGACCTTGATCCCCATCCTGGGAGGCTGGCGGAGGTTCTGGGGAGACTGGGCGTGGGAGGGGGGCGAGGAGGGGGCGGGGCTTCCCGGAGAAGGGGCGGGAGAAGGAGGGAGGGAGGGGTCCAGGGAGCTCTTTTGTTCAGACCCAGCCTGGAAGGAGCTTGCAAAAGCATGGCGCAATGGGTTCAAATGACATGTTATGCCATTCTTTCTGAACATTAGGAAGAACTGGGTTGCTGGGAGTTTTTCGGGCTGTATGGCTATGTTCCAGCAGCATTCTCTCCTGACATTTCGCCTGCATCTCTGGCTAATGGCACGTTCAGAGCTTCTGTTAGCATTGTAGCAATACCTATAGAATAATGTCCAGGGTGGCTGTAAGTTTTTGGGATGTATAGCCTTGTTCCAGCAGCATTCTCTCCTGACATTTCGCCTGCATCTTTGGCTAATGGCACATTCAGAGCTTCTGCTGGCATTGTAGCAATACCTATAGAATAATGTCCAGGGTGGCTGTAAGTTTTTCGGGCTGTATGGCCATATTCCAGCAGCATTCTCTCCTGACATTTCGCCTTCATCTGTGGCCAATGGCATATTCAGAACTTCTGTTGGCATTGAAGCAGGTTGAGTGTCTATATACCTATAGAATAATGTCCAGGGTGGCTGTAAGTTTTTGGGATGTATAGCCATGTTCCAGCAGCATTCTCTCCTGACATTTCTCCTGCATCTTTGGCTAATGGCACATTCAGAGCTTCTGCTGGCATTGTAGCAATACCTATAGAATAATGTCCAGGGTGGCTGTAAGCTTTTCGGGCTGTATAGCCATATTTCAGCAGCATTCTCTCCTGACATTTCGCCTTCATCTGTGGCTAATGGCATATTCAGAACTTCTGTTGGCATTGAAACAAGTTGAGTGTCTATATACCTATAGAATAATGTCCAGGGTGGCTGTAAGTTTTTGGGATGTATAGCCATGTTCCAGCAGCATTCTCTCCTGACATTTCTCCTGCATCTTTGGCTAATGGCACATTCAGAGCTTCTGTTGGCATTGTAGCTATACCTATAGAATAATGTCCAGGGTGGCTGTAAGTTTTTGGGATGTATAGCCATGTTCCAGCAGCATTCTCTCCTGACATTTCTCCGGCATCTTTGGCTAATGGCACATTCACAGCTTCTGTTGGCATTGTAGCAATACCTATAGAATAATGTCCAGGGTGGCTGTAAGTTTTTGGGATGTATAGCCATATTCCAGCAGCATTCCCTCCTGACATTTCTCCTGCATCTTTGGCTAATGGCACATTCAGAGCTTCTGTTGGCATTGTAGCAATACCTATAGAATAATGTCCAGGGTGGCTGTAAGTTTTTCGGGCTGTATAGCCATGTTCCAGCAGCATTCCCTCCTGACATTTCGCCTGCATCTGTGGCTAATGGCACATTCAGAGCTTCTGTTGGCATTGTAGCAATACCTATAGAATAATGTCCAGGGTGGCTGTAAGATTTTTCGGGTTGTATAGCCATATTTCAGCAGCATTCTCTCCTGGCATTTCGCCTGCATCTGTGGCTAATGGCATATTCAGATCTTCTGTTGGCATTAAAGCAAGTTGAGAACCTATATACCTATAGAATAATGTCCAGGGTGGCTGTATTCAGATATTATGTAGGCATTGAATCAAGTTGAGTGTCTACATACCTATAGAATAATGTCCAGGGTAGCTGTAAGTTTTTCGGGCTGTATGGCCATGTGCCAGCAGCATTCTCTCCTGACATTCTCCATCTTTGGCTAATGGCATATTCAGAGCTTCTGTTGACATTGAAGGAAGTGGAGGGTATATAGAATAATGTCCAGAGTGGAAAACTTGGTTGCTGTGTGTTTTTCGGGCTGTATGGCCGTGTTTCAGCAGCATTCCCTCCTGACGTTATGCCTGCAACTGTGGCTAATGGCACATTCAGAGCTTATGTTGGCATTGAATCAAGTTGAGTGTCTATATACCTATAGAATAATGTCCAGGGTGATTGTAAGTTTTTCGGGCTGTATAGCCATATTCCAGCAGCATTCTCTCCTGACATTTTGCCTGCATCTCTGGCTAATGGCACGTTCAGAGTTTCTGCTGGCATTGTAGCAATACCTATAGAATAATGTCCAGGGTGGCTGTAAGTTTTTGGGATGTATAGCCATGTTCCAGCAGCATTCCCTCCTGACATTTCACCTGCATCTGTGGCTAATGGCACATTCAGAGCTTCTGTTAGCATTGTAGCAATACCTATAGAATAATGTCCAGGGTGGCTGTAAGTTTTTGGGATGTATGGCCGTGTCCCAGCAGCATTCTCTCCTGACATTTCGCCTGCATCTCTGGCTAATGGCACGTTCAGAGCTTCTGTTGGCATTGTAGCAATACCTATAGAAAAATGTCCAGGGTGGCTGTAAGTCTTTTGGGCTGTACAGCCTTAGGCTGGATCTATACTGCACTATATCCCAGGATCTAATCCCAAATTATCTGATAATCCCAGATTATCTAGCAGTGTAGACTCATATAACACAGCTCAAATCAGATAATCTGGTATCAGGTCCTGGGATATAGTGTATAGATCAACTTGGACTTGGGCCCCTTCTACATTGCCAGATAATCCAGGCTATCACTGCAGAAAATCTACATTATCTGCTTTGAACTGGATTATCTTAGTCTACGCTGCCATATAATCCAATACAAAGGACATAATGTGGATTTTATATGGCTGTGCAGAAGGGGCCTTGGACAACACTCCCCATCATCCCCAGGCAGCACAGAAGAGGGTTGGCCTCCTATGCAGCCCTGCAGTGCCCCAATGGCTGACCCTTTACTGCCCCCAATGGACACCTCGAGAATTGCACCTCTTTAACAGTCTGCTCCTTATTTGAAGCCTTTGGCCCAGGACTCTGCGTCTCCAGTGCAAGGACCCTTACTGCCATCGAGTGGCCATATCGGGAAAGAGCGCCCTTTGAGCCTTGGAGGGCCCTGTGTAAGCTATGGGCATTTATTAGATGTAGGGGGCGCTGGTAGATCGATTCTAAAGTCAATTCTGATTTTCACAGAAAAAAAATTCAAAACTTTTCGAAACTTCCGAGACTTCTGAATCCTTTCGTTAATGGTTTGAAAGTGTTATTTCCTGTCTCATTGGGTGGTCTTTACTTTGAAAGTAGTTGTTTTATTCCAGAAGCCAGGAAAGGCAAACGAAATTCCTTCCTTCTCTAGTTTAAAACTGGCTTGTCTGGCTTTAATACTGGCTTCTCTGGCTTGAGCTCAGGCCAGGAAATTCCTTCTTTCTCTGGTTTAAAACTGGCTTCTCTGGCTTGAGCTGAGGTAAGGAAATTCCTTCCTTCTCTGGTTTAAAACTGGCTTCTCTGTCTTTAAAACTGGCTTCTCTGGCTTGAGCCGAGGCCAGGAAATTCCTTCCTTGACTGGTTTAAAACTAGATTCTCTGGCTTGAACCAAGGCCAGAGACCAGAAGCAAGGAAAAGCAAGCGAAGGAAATTCCTTCCTTCTCTAATTTAAACTGGCTTCTCTGGCTTTAAAACTGACTTCTCTGGCTTGAGTCAAGGCCAGGAAATTCCTTCCTTCTCTGGTTTAAAATTGGCTTCTCTGGCTTTAATACAGGCTTCTCTGGCTTTAATACTGGCTTCTCTGGCTTGAGCCGAGGTGTTGTGGTTCAGCAACAGCATGATGAGAATGGGAATACAGATGCAGGGGGATGTCAGATTTCTCAGCCACAGTCTGTAGCTAGAGAGAAACGCTTGTTCTCACAGCCAAAGAATGTGGCTGATAAGACGCTCGGTGAAGGTCGGAGCAAGCTCCAGGTGTTAAGAAGAAGCGGGAGGATTGCGGCCAAATCTTGAGGCCATCTGCTGGTGGGAAAATTGCTTGTTAGTAGATTGTTTTAGTTTCATGTTTTGATGTTTCACCTATAAGTATGCTGCTGGAAAGCTGGTTCAGTGTCTGTTCAACTTTGCTAGAATGGATCACTGTACCTACGGCCCCGGGCTTGGGCCAGAGGGGATTGCCTGCTTCCTGTAACTTCATGCTGATGCCTGGAATGTATCTTGCTCCTTTGCCTCAAGTTCCTGCTTTGATTTAAGAAATCCTATTGAACCTATATTTTGTACTTTACAATTTTACTGCTTTTACCTGGATTTGTTTGAAACCTCAATAAACTATTTTCTTCTCAAGCTTGGCTGGTTTGTCAGAGAGCAAGGTGAAGCTAATCTGAGACGCAACAGTTTGAACAGACCACTCAACAAAGTCCTTGCTTCTCCCAGCCACCATGAATCCTGCAGATGCCCAGGCCATGCAACAGCAGCTGCAGGACCTCCAGCAGCAGATAACCACGATGCAAGCGCAAAGGGCGCCTGCCCCTCCGGCTCCGCCACTAAGGACTCCTATGGCTTTGCCCAACAAGTTCTCTGGAGACAGTCAACGGGTCAAGGACTTCTTGGGACAGTGTGATGCCTACCTCACAGTGCGGGAAACGGAGTTTGCGAATGAGGCAGCCAAGGTGGGCTTTGCCTACAGTTTGTTGGAGGGCCCGGCCCTCTCCTGGGCCACCGCGCTACGTGAGGCCGCTTCCCCTGTGTGCAACACTGTCAAGGCTTTCATGGATGAACTGCACAAAGTTTGGGGAGGCCAAGTCCACCGGGAGATGGCGGATCGTAAGCTGCGTGCACTAACGCAAAAAGAGGGGTGTTTGGCCCAATACATTTCGGAGTTTCGTGTATTGCAGTGGGAGCTGGCTTGGAACGATGCCGCCTACATGAGCGCTTTCAAAGCGGGGCTCACCCAGGAGATGCAGTTGGAGGTGGCCCGTTCCGCTGTTCCGGCCGACTTGGAAGCATTAATGTCTCTATGCATCCGGATAGATGGATCCATGGCCAATCAACGTCACATCATTGCTGGGCCTCGGCCAGTGGGCCGAAAGGGGGCCGATGCGGGAGTGCCACGTCGCTTGGGTCCGCCGCCACCTCGTGAGCCCGATGCAGAGGAACCCATGCAGCTGGGCTCCCTGCGCCCCAAAGTTGATGCGGCGGAAAAGGCGCGGCGACAACGGCTCAA